TTCCTGACATTTCACCTGCATCTGTGGCTGGCATCTTCAGAGAAGATTTCCATTGTGATTAAGATACCTGCCACAGATGCAGGCAAAACATCCGGAATACACTCTTCTAGAACATGGCCGCACAGCCCCAAAACCCCACAAAAACCTAATTTGGAACTCATTTGCAACCACTTACAATAAGACATGTGGAAATCTGACAAAGTATTATAGTTCCTTTATACTAAGATTACTAAGGTGAACTCAGACTAGGTTGGGCAAATCACAACCTCACTTACCAGCCATCACAGCTTTCATAGGGGTGCGTGAGATACCAGGCGTTGGGGAGCGAGGATCCCAGCTCAAATTCTGTTTGTTGGTGACCAAGTCATCTTCATTTGGGCGAGTCAGGGGACTCTCTTGGGAAGAACTTTCTACCTGAGAAGGGTTGAACAAGAGTATGATTCAGACTGTGTGACCAATGCTAGAGAGGTAGGGAGGAAGCAGGGGCAAGTGCCAGTAGACACTGCTATAGGACATGTGAGTCCTTGGTTTTGAAGGGCTGGCACAGAAGTCTTCCTATACCTCTATGGGAGTTCTCAAGATGCCAGCTGTGGGTGATCGTGGATCATTGACATATGCGAGGTGCTTATTAATCAAAGGTTTGCAGGTGGGTGTCGCTGGGCAGCTCTCAGAGGCCCCCATGTCAGCCGGAAGTAAAGGCAGCAATTCCTCAGAGCACAGTTTTCACAGGCCAGAAACTCTGCAAAAAGAAAACTACATGTAGTTTTACAATTTAAGAAGAAAGTAGCTAAGATTCAATTATAAAACTGTTGCTTGACAAATATCTTCAGCTTGGCACACCAGCATAAACAATGATCTTTTGTGATGTAACTTCTTGCCCCAAAACACAGGTAGAGGAAGAATCAGCAAGAGAAGTCACAGACTGATGCTGTCTCTCTCAGTTGTTTCCCAGATTACTATACATTACCAGCCTGAAGCAATCAAGAGAAGGCACTGAGTAGGAGCTTAGTTTTCTCTTCCCACTCTGGCAAACAAACTGTGCTAAAGGAAACCCCTCAGATTTTACATTTCTATACAATGCCTGCATTCAGACATCCCACTGTTACCTGCTAAATGTGGTGCCAGATTAATAGAGTAATTGTGAGACAGTGGAGAAGAGGAAGCTGAAATATAATATGAGTTGCTGATTTTGTTACTGTACTTCATAAAAAAAGTTCAACTACAATCAACTTTGGAGTGCACTGATGACTTTGCCTATTCTAACCCATTGAATTGTTTATAAACATTCCATTATAGCACAGTACTGCAATGAAAGGTTCTTACATACTCCTGAAGAATAAACACAGATGTTATTCTAATATATATATACACACACATATATATATATATATATATTAGCAAAAGGACCAGCCAGTGTGGCAATACTGAGAAGGAGTATTGAGCCTCTTGCTCTTTTCTCCTCTGAACATACAGCCTAGCAATGAATTGCAGGTGAGCATCCTCAGCATGGAACACGCAGATGGAAGAGATGAAACATTCAAGACTTCAGCAAGCAGCCTTCTATCCAATTCAGCCTGTCATCAAAAGGGAAAAGTGGGAAGCTGTGAAGACTGCAGTGAAGATCAGTTCATCCACAATTTAAACAAAAATAGATCGCTAAATTATAAATCTTAGGAAAGTTGTAGAGCTTATAAAAGTTAATAATGTAGACCACAACTTCCATAAATTATGTCTCCCACCACTTCAAAAAAAGATTTCTCAAGCTCCAAAAATCAGCTGATCCCAAGCACACTAACAGCATTGTTCCAGATTTAGCATGGAAAGGATGGAGACATAGCCTGGCAGATCAATAAGTAGGTACCCAGTGGAAGCCTTCCTTCCCACCTACTGCCAGCCGCCTACCATCACTTGAGCTGCTTCCTTGGGAGACAGCTGCTCATGGGCCTACTCCTTGCCCCAGAGGTGCTTCAAACAAATCAGCACTGGCTGCAAAAGCCTGTTCCCTGGTGGTGCCCTCTTTTTAGGAAAGACACACCAAAGATGCCTATGGGCCTTTGCAGACTGCCAGAAATAGAGCACTTTAAATTGAGGCACTGCCCTGGCTCAATGCTAGGGAATCATGGGAGTTGTATTTTTTTCTGAGACATTGAGCCTTCTCAGTCAGAGAGCTCTGGTGCCACAATAAAATACAATTCCCATGATTCCCTAGCACTGAGCCAGGGCAGTGCCTCAATTTAAAGTGCACTATTTCTGGCAGTCTGCAAAGGCCTTACAATACCTTGATGAATACCTTAATTTGAGAAGTTTCACCAGGATTTCAACATCTTCCACCCCACCATCAGCCTGAGCCTGGAACAATCCACACAACAAATTCACTTTCTTGACACCACTGTGCAACTTAACAAAGGACTTCTAAGCACCATGCTCTATTGAAAGCCCACAAATCACTACACATACTTACATGCTTCCAGTTTCCATTCAGAACACACTACAAAAACCATTGTTTACAACTAAGCCCTCCTATACAACTGCATATGCTCAGACCCACAAGTTGCTGTTGTTGTTAACTGCCCTTGAGTCGATCTTGACTCATGGCGGCCCTATGGATGAGACATCTCCAAGAAGACCCTCTGTCCTCCACTGCTCTGCTTAATTCCTGCAACCCCTTAATACCAAAAGTGACCTCCTTCATAGAGTCCATCCATCTGACATGTGGCCTTCCTCTCTTCCTGCTTCCCTTCACCTTCCCCAGCATTATTGTTTTTTCCAAAGAGTCCTCTCTTCTCATGATGTGTCCGAAGTACGACAGTCTCAGGGCCTTTGCAGACTGCCAGAAATAGTGCAACTTGAGTCCACTTTAACTGTTCTGTCCCAATCAACTGCTAGGGAATCATGGAAATTGTAGTTTTTTCTGAGACACAGCCTTCTCTGTCAGAGAATTCTGGTGCCACAATAAACTACAGTTCCCATGATTCCCTAGCACTGAGCTAGAGCAGTTAAAGTGGTATTACAGGTATTAAAGGGTTGCAGGAATTAAGCAGAGCAGTGGAGGACAGAGAGGGTCTTGGAAATGTCTCATCCATAGGGCCGCCATGAGTCAAGATCGATTCGAGGGCAGTTAATAGCAACAACCACAACAAAGTCAGAAGGGACCTGAAGGCACACACACACACACACACACACACCCCTATATGGCATTTGACTACTCTCATACTAGCACTTTCAGGGGAGCCAGCATGGCCTTGTGGTTTGAGAGCTGGACTATGACTCCGGGGATCCAGGGTTCGAGTCCCAGCTCAGCCATGACGAAACCCACTGGGCAAGAAGTCACACTCTCTCAGCCTCAGGGGAAGGCCATGGCAAACCTCCTCTGAACAAACCTTGCCAAGAAAACCCCATGAGAGGCTGCCTGTCCCGCGGCCCCTTCGCCCAGTTCCCCACCTCGAAGGCTCCAGCCCAGCCTCCTCCGGTCCCTGACGCCGCTCCGCTCGCCCTCAGGACGGCTGGCCCGCAGTCGGGCCTCAGTTCGAATCCCCCGCTCCGCCGCTCTCATTGGGTCCAGCGGCTGCCACTCACTCGCGCCACGCCTCGGCGTCCGTTTGGAATCACCTCAGCCGACTTTCAGACCGCCCTCGTCTTCTTTCAATGGACAGGAGAGGGAGAGCCCGCCCTCCAATTTGGCCTTTTATTGGATCAAAGGGCTATCAATTAACGAAACGGACTGCACCAGCGTTGCTTTCTCATTGGGTAGTTTGGGCAAATACGAATACACGTCACCCAATCGCACGTTTCTAGGCCCGTCACGTTAGGGTGGGCTCCAGAAGGAAATCGGGCGTTTCCATTTGCCGAAATGTTTACCTCAAGAGTTGATTGGGTAAGCCGGCTGTCTGTTTAAGAACTGCTCGCGAGGAAGGGCAGAACTGGCGAGAAGGGCGGGCCAAACAAAGCGCCTCGCGCCTCTGGGGATTACGGATTGGCCCCACTTCTTCTTTCCACGACGCTGATTGGCCGAAGGAGGCTGCCCTTTTCTGCTCTCTGATTGGCTAGGGGCTGGCGGTGGGCGGTGTCGCAGAAAGCAGTTGTCATGGCGGAGCTGAGCGAAGCGCTCCTCTCGGTGCTGCCGTCCATCCGGGTGCCCAAGGCCGGGGACCGCGTCCACAAGGACGAATGCGCCTTCTCCTTCGACACGCCGGTAAGCGGCCGCGGGAAAAAGCCGGGCGCGAGAGACGCGGTCGCTGGGTTGTCTCTACAGACTCCGGCCGCCGGGGCTTCCTTCGGGGAAAGAGCGGAGGAGGCCGCGCAAGGGCTTCTGGGGCTTGTATTCTTCCTGAGCAGGAATTGCTTTTGAACTCACCGCTGGGGAGCTGGTGAAGCACTACAAGTCCCAAAAGCCTCAGCGGCCTTTAAACGACATGTCTATTTATTAAGGTGGGGGCTGCGGTTCTGTGTCAGCCGCGAACCCTTACCTTCTCTCCCTTCGGCCGGAAGGAGGCCGGGGCGGGAGCAGGGCATGGTGGGTGCCGTAGTTTTCGTGCCCTGATGGCGTTGAGGGATTCTGTGAGGGGCTACGCGGCTCTGGAATACGGAAGCCTCGGTCCAGTTGTGCCTCGCGGAGCATGCTGGGAAGTGGAGTCCTCCCCCTGGGACTGTGAGGCTGGCGCTGGCTCTCAGGGACTGCGGCTCCCAGAGTCCTTCGGGGCGGAGGGTTGTGTTTTCTCTCTGGGGGCCGGGCCCCACTTGTGCTGAGGCGCTGGGGTTCCGCTCCGGCCTCTGGGCAGCGGCGCCTCCATCCCATCCCTCCGCTTTGTTAGGCCTCTCGTCCTCTTCCTCAAGTTCTTAAGGGTCCGCTGATTCATTTGTGGTGGCTACTGTGTATGGGGCGCCGGGGGAAGGGAAGAGACTCCGGACCTTTACAGACTGCCAGAAATTATGCAGCTTGAGTCCACTTTAACTGTCCTGGCTCAGTGCTAGGGAATCATGGGAACTGTATTTTTTTCTGAGACATTGAGCCTTCTTTGTCAGAGAGCTCTGGTGCCACAATAAACTACAGTTCCCATGATTCCCTAGCACTGAGCCAGGACAGTTAAAGTGGCCTCAAACTGCATTATTTCTGGCAGTCTGTAAAGGCCCTTCGGTACTAGGATAGGGAGAAGGGCAGAGGCACCTCGAAACCCACTGGTCAAGAAGTCACACTCTCTCAGCCTCCTCAGGGGATGTCAATGGCAAACCTCCTTTGAACAAACCTTGGAAGAAAACAGCATGAGAGGTTGGCCTTAGGGAAATCACTTGAAGGCACACAATACAACAACAGCAACTATAACAAGTGTTGTGTGTTGTTATCTAACAAGCATCAAGAGAGCATCCCCTTTCGCTTCTCAATTTTCCCATGGGGTGTGTGTCTGTTGTGTGCCTTCAAGTCATCCCCAACTTATAGGGGGGTTTTGTGTCAAAATTTGTTCACAAGGGGTTTGCCATTGCCATCTTCTGAGGCTGAGAGACAGTGACTTCTTGGCCAAGGTCACTCATGTGGTTTCTGTGACCCAGCTGGGATTCTAACCCTGCTTTCCAGAGTCATAGGTCCAAAACACACTGCAGAAATAATCCAGTTTGAGACTGCTTTAACTGCCCTGGCTCGATGCTAGGGAAGTCTGGGAACTGTAGTTTATTGTGGCACTAGAGCTCTCCCTGACAGAGAAGGCTGAACTACAGTTCCCAGGATTCCCTAGCACTGTTAAAGCAACCTCAGACTGGATTATTTCTGCAGTATGTTTTGGACCATAGGCCAAGGCTCGAACCCCTAGGCCATGCTGACTCTCTGGAAATGAGAGGCCCAGTGAGAAGACACAACAAGGCACCTTAGGTCTGTGGATTCCAGTTTCAAGCAGCCCCTTTAAAAAGATTTCTACCACATTCTAGATGGAGAAAAGAGAAGAGGCATGACAAGTCTCTTCCAAACAAGTTGATCCCGACATTCTCCTTTTCCAGGACAGGTCCTCCGTTTCCACCTTCTGTCCAAGAAGAATTCTAGAACATCCTCCATAGCTAAGAAGTGTGAACTTATCTATAAGAGTGTCTTTACCTTTTATTGGGCCATGTCCTTCCTTTTTCTTGCAGTTAGGACATCTTAGACTTAGGACAATATTTCTACCCCTGTTCTAGACCCTACTTCCAAGCAGCAGGAAAATATCATGCTTCATTTTTCTTGTTACTCACTGGAAATGAGAGGTGAGAAGAGACACAAGAAGGCACTTAGGTCTCTGGGTTCTGGTTTCAAGCACTTCTAGAATATTTCTAGCACTTTATAGACTTTTTGATAAATGTGGAGTAAAATTCTAGCAAGGCATAGTGGTTTGAGCATTGGATTAGGACACTGGTGACCAGGATTCAAATCCGGGCTCAGCCACGGTGACCTTGGGAAGTCATACTCTCTCAACCTCAGAGGAAAGCAATGGCAAACTCCCTTCTCAAGAAAACTGCCAAGAAAATGCCATAAGTCAGAAATGACTTGAAGGTATATAACTACAACGACTACAACTATAAAGGGCCATCCAGTCTGTGCATGAGGGATTGTAGCTTATCCTTTTCTTTCCTTTTAAAAAGAAATCTTTAAAGATGGATGTGTTGAGGTTCATTTTGCAACCAGCTAAAGGTTTTGCTTGATGGGTAAAGGATGGTTATCAGGTGTGAAAGAGGCTAGTCTCTTCATCTTGATTGGCAACTTCATCTTGAGAATAAGAGCAGAAAATCTTACTCTAAAATCTCACTTAAAAGAGTGAGTCTTGCTTTATTTCTGAGACTTGTCATTTTCAGCCAGCTACTTGCTGTCTGTCCATTTAACAGGTTGAACAGTTTGATATTAAAGCATGAACATGACAAAATGACTGTTTTGTCACACTCGTTGGGGAGGCATTATGATGGGTTATCATGGTATCCGTGCAGCAATTACTTTGTTTTTGCTGGAGGAATAACATGTTGCCAGCATGTTTCCTTTTGAACCCGGCTGCCTTGAAGCAATACCCTGAACAGGTGAACAGTTGCTTATCGCTCAGTGATAGTCATCTGAAAAGGCCCTCTATAAGTGGAGATTTTTTTTTTTACTGACAATGGGGGGTTGCAGACTGCCAGAAATAGTGCAAATTGAGTCCACTTTTAGGGTTAGGATTAGTGCTAGGGAATCATGGGAATTCTTGTTTTTCTGAGACATTGAGCCTTCTCTGTCAGAGAGCTCTGGTGCCACAATAAAATGCAGTTCCCATGATACCCTAACCCTAACCCTAAATGTGGACTCAAGTTGCACTATTTCTGGCAGTCTGCAACCCCCAATGTGATACTGTTGCTAATTATGCTGCTAATATTAACAACACTGAAGTAGTGCTGTGCATAGAGTCATACAGACTTCATATAGTTATATTCAGACCTTATGAGTCTGTCCAGAGCTGCTTTCAAGTTAAGAAAAAAACACAAAGTAATTAAATAATGATGATACTGGTCTTTCAGCCTCTTCTGTAACTGTATTTTCAACATTGGTATTATCGTCTGATGACCTATAATTTGGAAACTCAAAACAGTAATATAAATACAGTGGTACCTCTACTTACGAAATTAATTCGTTCCACAACCCATTTCATAGGGAGAAAATTTCATAAGTAGAAGCAAATTTAACATTGAAATGCCCTAATCCGTTCCAAGGCCATAGAATAGCCGTGGCTGCGGCTGGAAGGAGGCCTCCTTCAAGTCGGAGCCACAGCCGTTCCTTGGGCTGATCCTGGAAGTGGAGGAATCCTCCACTTCCAGGATCAGCCCAAGGAATAACCGAGGCTGCAGCTGGAAATTTTCGAGTTACAAAATGCTTCTAAAAAATATTCTCTACATACAAATATGTCTCTACAGCCATTCGTATGTAGAGACATACTCGTATGTAGAGACAATATTTTTTAGACAAAGCGTTTCATAACTCGAAAATATCGTAACTAGAGCCTTTCATAAGTAGAGGTACCACTGTACACACTTCTTGTACTTTTCATTGTATTCTTCATGGTATTTCATAAATTAAAATAACACCCATATTCCTCAGAAACAACAAAGACTGCAAGGAGGACATAAATGCAACAGCACTATACAGTCAACATCAGAATTAGAAGGTTCACTTCAGGCTAAGATGGGGCAGTGCAGAAAATAAACAGAATAAAAAAGGCATAAATGAATATATCCTACACTAGGCAACTCACATGTTCAGCAGTCTTCATGGTAGATGCAAAGGTCTTTAGACAAAATTATGGGCTTGCCAGCTCCATCTCTAACTT